TTTCCAAAAATGCATTTGTATTTTTTTTTATACAAATGCATTATCAAAAACCGTGGTAATCAAATGAAGGCATAAAACATTAAGCATTTATTTAATCTTTTAAAATGTAATCAAATGTAAATGTAACAATTCCTTTTTTGTTATCAAACAAAGTGGCACAACAGAGGTTTACTGTCAAAATTAAAACATGGAGGAAAATTATGTGACATTCCTGAAAAAAATTAAAATTGTAATTATTTTATTCTTATTATTAATTTCAGAAGGGTTACATAATTTCTTCGTGTTAAACCAGTTTCTGTGTGTATCTGATGATAGTTTTCTCAAATGAATGGCTCTGTGGAGATGAAGTTCATGTATGTATAAGCCGTTCTGTTGGATGCTTTTTTAACATGTTTGTGTTTGTGTTTGTGTTTGTGTTGGGCAGCCGCTGATGCCTCTGCAGGCCAATGGTCCAGGCCTGCAGTATAAGGTCATGTGGCGTCAGCAGGACATGGAGAAGGACTGGATGTCGGTCAGCGTGGCTAACGTCTCTAAGTTCGTTGTGTCGGGGACGCCCACGTTTGTGCCGTACGAGGTGTTGGTTCAGACGTTGAACGATTACGGTCCTGGACCCAAACCCAGCGCTGTGATTGGATACTCCGGAGAGGACTGTGAGTGATGCTTTCAGCAGTTCACACACCTTTATACGCTTGTCTAGCGGAACGCTGCTAATCCCAGAATGCACCTGTGCAGTTCCGTCAGCAGCTCCAGGTGACGTGCGTGTCCTGGTGCTGAACAGCACGCTAGCAGAGGTGCGCTGGAGCCCCATTTCGCCCGAATCCGTGCGCGGCCGACTGCAGGGCTATAAGGTACGGCTCTCCTCTCGTCATGTGACCCGCCGATACTCAAATTCAGATACTCACGATTAATCAAAGGTTATTTCTAAACATAATTATGAAAACAAGATCAAATGATTATTGAACTACATTCTGTTTCTCAATTCTCAAATTATTATTAATGTTTATTAATTTATCTCATTTAAATTTATTTAACATTTATTTTTGTTTGTTTTTCAGTTGAATTATATATCTATTATATATGTAGTTAATATTTTAACTAAATCATTTTGAAACTATATAGTTATTATATTTTCTGTTTAAAGTTTTAGTATTTTTGTCATTTTTATTAGTTTTTGTGTGTTTTTATGTCTATTTATTTTTTAGGACATTTTAGTTTTAGTTTATTTATTTTTGTACTTTAACTTAAACTAAACAAAAATGTGAAATGTTACCTTGACAACTAGCTGAAATTTAACAAGTTACATTTTTTTATATTTTATTTCATTTCAGTTAATGTTTAATTTATTTCAAGTAATGAAATTGAATTTTTTTTGTTTTAGTTTTATTTAGCTATAATAACCAAGTGTTAAAAAAATTGTTTTTAAAATTCAATAAATGCATGACTTTTCCCAATTATTGACCAAAATAATCGTGATTGTGATGTTTGCGGTAGTTGAGCAGCTGTAATTCACATTCACATTTGCAAAATTTACATAAAAATAAAATACATACAACTAAGTCTAATGACACACTCTTTAGGAGACACAAATGGACAAATAAAAACATTAAAACCATCTCAGTATTGATCACGCTCAGACTAGTGCATGCTGGGAGGATATGGAGAGCAGGTGGATGGTAGAAAGCCTTTAACGGAGGTTGCACTGTTGTCCGTGTGCAGGTGCATTACCATCGTGAGCGCAGTTTACACCGACACAACTCTCATCATGGCAAACACAGGACTGAGATCTTCAGCCCCAACAAAACCAGCGGGAAACTGCCTGACCTGCTGCCGTACAGCGTCTACAGCCTGGAGGTGATGGCCTTCAACGGCCGAGGAGAAGGTCCCTCCAGCGCCCTGCAGCGCTTCGAGACACCCGAGGGCGGTAAGAGCAGCGGCAACATTTCTATATCACCCAACAGAGGACACGCTCAAAACTGTCAGCAGCAACACAGAATTTTCCATTATGGGCTGATATTTAAATCCATTTCCAGAGGCATTTTGACCTTTATAAAGGCAACTAGCCTTTCTAGCCTTTTTAAATGCATGTGTCCCCATTCATTTACATTTTAATTTATTTTTGTTTAATACATGTAATAAGAATAAGGCATTAAAGGGCTGTTGCCAATCAAGTAAAATCAGGCAAAAGATACAGAATCTGCATCTGAAGTGGCATTTAGATGGATCTTTACGATGGCATAAATAATATTCTAAATACAAAATATATTAAATATAGAAAATAAAATCATATGAAATATGAAACTAAAACCATCAGTAGGTGGTAGTCACTGTCTTAATGAATGAGTCATTGATTGAGTCATTCATTCAACTGATTCCTTCAAACAGCTGATTCATTCAAGACTGAAGCAAGTGACTTAATGAATGAGTCACTGAATCATTCACTGTTTCATTCAAGAACAAAACACCACTGTGTTGACTGGAGATGCAAACCTTCTTTTTGGAACAAAACCGCTGAAATAGACAATATTGTGTTTAAAATGTGCATCATTTATTGACTTGGGCTATGTTTTAATCTATTTATTTATTAATCACATACCACTGGATAAAGTATTTAAAACCGGACTGTTTGACCTAAAGCTGTACAGAAGGCCGCACAGGTGCTACAGTCATTTAACATGGATGCTGTGTGTTTGTGTTCCAGTTCCAGGCGCGCCGTCCTTCTTCAAGGTTTCTGCTTTAGATCTGGACTCTCTGACGCTGGAATGGGGTCCACCTCACGAGAGGAACGGCCGTCTGTCCGGATACACCTTCAAATATCAGACCGGTGAGAAAACCTGTGCAGCGTCACTGCGGTTTACTGCTTTATGACCCGTTCACACCGGGAACCGTAACTACACTGCCTGCCAATAAGAAAGACACACAATCTAAGTTTGATCTGATGGGGTTTCCACAAGCTTATGCAGCAGCACAACTAGGGCTGGGCAAAAAAATAATTGATTTTTCGATTAATCGTTTTTTTTTTTTTTTTAAATCACGTCGATTCGATATCGATTCTCAAAAGCCGCAAATCGATCTTTTCTGGTATTTATTTCAGCAAACATTTAAAACAAGATCTGATTAACGTGAATCTTATCATTAGTCTTCTCCACTAGATGTCACCCTCTTATTTACCTTGCGCGATGTTACAACAGAAAGCCTGTCATTCATTCAGCGCTTATCACGGCTGACAAGAACCTAGAACAAAGCAATGTGCGCGATTTGCAATGCTCAGGTGAAATGCTATAGAAATACTACAAATCTGTGGAAGCATTCGACATCACACATGGGGCGCCATGATTTCCGCAATGAATGAATGAATGGCGGATGGCACAGACTTTGTTTACTACACACATACTAAAGCGCGGACGACGCTCGCTGTGTTTTCAGCTTCTGTCGTCTAACTATATGACGATATGAACACACAAATATCATCTCCAGCTGCTCTGACAGTCACTTCATTAACATTTTACCATTTAATTTGAGAAAACTACCGTCATATCACTAGGGTCACCATACGTCCTCTTTTCCCCGGACATGTCCTCTTTTTGGACCTAAAAAAAATATGGTCACCCTAATATCACATACACAGCAGCTGCAAGTTCCTCACACGGCAACCCGTCAAAATAAAAGTTTGGTTTAACGTGAAGAAACTGTGACAGACTTGTATTACTATTGTGCAGTCTTAAGACTCAATGTAACAACAATACTACTACTACTACTACTAATAAATATTAATAAAACTTTTATTTAAACATTTATAAAAACATTATTAATAAAATATTACATTGAAATTAATGTTTTAGACCATCATCTGATTACCAGAAACATTAAGAAGAACATTTTATAGGGCCCTATTATTGTTTAAAAAAGGATGAAAATACAGAAAATGTTTGTGTGTACAATCTACAAATCCCCCACAATGCAGAAAAAAATTGAAGGGGTTACAATCTAAAGCATCAAGAGTGTAAAACCGATACATCCACTGACACTCACTCACAGACACACACATACATTATAGGAATAATCACATTTGTTTTCTTTTTAATTTTAACAGTAAACAAACCTCTGTTGTGCAGCACTTTGTTTGCCAAAAAAATAAAAGGGTTTAATTTTCATTTGATTAGGATAAATGAAATTAATGTTTTAGACCATCATCTGATTACCAGAAACATTAAGAAGAACATTTTATAGGGCCCTATTATTGTTTAAAAAAGGACCCTATACAAAAAAGAATAGATTTAAAATACAGGCATGTGGCTCTTAATTTCTTTTTATTAATTCACCAGTTGTAAACTGATGTTTACAAATCAGTTTACAAATGGTGAATTAATAAAAAAAATCATTTTTTAGAAATATCAATAGCATTTGTATTAAAACTATATTCAGAATAGATTTAAAATACAGGCATGTGGCTCTTAATTTCTTTTTATTAATTCACCAGTTGTAAACTGATGTTTACAAATCAGTTTACAAATGGTGAATTAATAAAAAAAATCATTTTTTAGAAATATCAATAGCATTTGTATTAAAACTATATTCACTGAATGTAATTTTAAAAAATCGAGAATCGAACCAAGAATCGAATCGAGAGCTTCCTAATCGAAATCGAATCGAATCGGGACATCTAAATCAAGACCCAGCCCTAATCACAACATTTATCTCCATCAAGGGTTTCATTATTTTTTGAGTTGAAAGAGTTTTAGTACAAGAACTTTTTTAAGAGTTGCATTAATTTTTAATTTCTTGTACTGAAAATAGTAGACATGCTGTCTAAGGAATGAAAAGTTGCACACTGCATCAGTTTGGATTAAAATAATTGTTCTTAAAATAAGTGTTCTGAAAGTGATTCCAGTGATACGGTTCCTCTGTTATATACCGTTAGTGGTGGAGTGAACTTCAATATTCTCATAGAGTTAAAACTCCATAGTTATTGTTTTTGGTGTGAATGTGCCTTTATGATTTAAAGTTTTAAAAAAGGAAGTTTCCGGAATCTCTGCTATATTTTGAAGCTATTACCGTTTTCATGTGTCGTACGTGTATATTTGAGTGTTTGTCCTTGTTCATGTTGCTCGAGTCAGCTTGAAGCAGTGAACAGAACAAATGGTCTGTAAGTGTAGCTTATGATTGGGTAAAATAACGTGACCCCGCCCCTTTCCGCTCCTGTCCCGCCTCCAGTCGACAGCAAAAGTGATTTGGGTCTGCTGGAAGAGCTGGATCTGCCGTCCAATCAGAGCAGCTTCACGCTGCACAACCTCCTTCACAGCACACGCTACAAGTTTTATATCAGTGCCAGAACGCAGAGAGGAGTCGGTCCCGCGCTCACCGAGGAGGCCGTCACTGTCCTCGACAGAGGTACGTACACTAGATAGGGTGCACAGCTGTTTCTTTAGTGTGTGTCAGTTTTATGTGTTTTCTGTTTACTCTTCTACTTCGACTTGTCTTTTGAACGTCTCATGTTTGTGGGTCTGTGTAAGACAGCAGAGTCTTATCACACCTGCTTAGTTTACGACAGAAACGAGCCGCGTGTTGTCCGTGTTCATAGTGTTTACAGCAGGACTGATGTTCAGATGTAGATTCTGTTCATATGTACCTGCAATCAGTGAAATATATAGTCTGTCAGCTGTGTTTTAGAGTGAATCGCGGCACTGTATTCGTTTGCACACGAGCAGCTCTAGTGTTCTCAGCATCTCGGTTCTCAGTAAATGCAGCGAACTCAATCACCGCTCATACTGCAAGTTTAACATGCATTTGGGAACACAACGTGCACCAGGTAATGCTTTATTTTCACTTTGGCATAACAGATGATTACAGCATTTCAGTAGATTTGTAATGAGACATGTTCGTAAACCTGTCTCCCTGCTGTTTTCCACCAAAATGAAAGCTTGATGGTTTAACACTTGCTAGTGAAGAAACTGATTTTGTTACTAAGTAAAATAACTATAAAATAATAATAATAATAATAATATATTTTTTTAATTTAATAAAATAATAGTTATTATTATTACACCATCCTGCATCATATTTGCTGAATGAAATCCAATACCTGTTTCTTACTAATTGTAGGTTGCTGAAATAGTGTCTGTTTTGCTCTCAAATTTGATTAATTTTGTAGCATTTTTGCTTTCGACACCCATCTGTGCAGTGAAGAAGTCTTGTATTTTACTGCATCCAAACAGAGACAGAGAATTATACATTTTGTGGGAAAAACATTTATTTAACTTATTTTGCAAAGTTTTTTTTTACATTAAATGGAGTATTTGAACATATTTTCCAACTCCACTCCATTATTTAACTTATTGTATGTTAAATAATACATTTTCAATACTTCTTTTTGTCAAACTTTTGGCATTTGACTGCTTTTGTTGTTTTGATAAGTGCATTAAAGCTGATGCATATAATTTGAAAGATTTACATTCTTATTTTGTGAAAATAACTATGCGATGAAACGTTTGTATTGATGTTTTTAAACTCCGCATCATCAAAATAGGCAATATTATGCTTTTTTCTTTTTTTTTTTGCAAATCAGCAGAATTTTTTTTTTAAGATGTAGGACTGTGCTGTTAATACATTAGAATTGCTTGGCTTCCCAAAAATTCATATCTCACTAAATCCTGTGAGAAACACTGTACAGTGTGTGTTTTCCTTCATGATCCAGCTCTGATACTTTTTTTTTTTTAATTTTAAGTTTTTATAAACAAGAATAAACACCCTTCTTCTCTCCTACAGTAGTGACATCATCACTAGCCCCGCCTCTACACGTTAACGTCACATGTTATTATGCTACTCACAGTGTGTTTGGACCTCTTGTAAACAGTGCCGCTCATGTCAGTGCATCGTTGACACTCACTGATCTGGAGGTCAGAGGTCACTGTGATGGGCTGATGATGTCTCTCTCTCTCTCTCAGCGCCGCCGGTCGCTCCTGCGTTTGGGAACGTCAGCTCATCCGTGAGCGAGGATGGAGCGCTGATCAGTTGGGAATACTGGGGCCCCGAGAAACACCTTTATGTTGAATATATTATAGACAAGAGTAAGAATCCTGCATGCGTGTGTCGCGAGGATGATGATGATGATGAAACACTAAACATATACATTCCCATGAGTAGAGCTCCTGTAGTAACTAATACACAGTCATCTACCCCGCTGAACAGATCAACCTCCATGCTAGTTAATGCTGGTTAGTGCTGATGGTGACCCGTCTGTTCAGCAGGGTACACTGCAAAAAATAATGTTCTTACTTGGTATTTTTGTCTTGTTTTCCAGTACAAATCTCTAAACATTCTTATATCAAGAAGCATATTAAGAAGATATAAAGTCGTGTTGTCTGAGAAATTGATCAAAATGAAGTGTTTATACTTAAAATAAGAAACTACAGGTGAATAGGGTAAAAAATTAGCTACTAGATATCATATCACCATACTTCCCCAGTTGATTAATCACAGTATGTTAAGTTTTCTGAAATGTTATATTTAAATGTGCACTAATTTGCAAACATTTCCACAAAATCTGAACTTTGGATAACGCCAAGTTGAAAATTATTGTTGGATTTTGTTGACATATTAAAGTTAAGGTTTTTACAAAGGGGATTTTGGACTTCTCTCTCTATCACTCAACAATTTATAAAAACAAATACATTTTCACCATGTTTTAAGAATAAACTATTGTATAAATCAGTGTGAATGAAATATAAACAAACCCCTCAGTAAAAACCTTCATAATGTAGAGAGGAATAAAACTCTAAGTTTTGGTGTATGTCAGTGCTGCTGAAGTGGAGAAACAAACTCATTACCTTTAAATGCATGCATTTTCGCCATGTTCTTAACTCATATAATGTTGTATAAATCAGTGTGAATGAAATATAAACAAACCCCTCAGTAAAAACCTTCATAATGTAGAGAGGAATAAAACTCTAAGTTTTGGTGTATGTCAGTGCTGCTGAAGTGGAGAAACAAACTCATTACCTTTAAATGCATGCATTTTCGCCATGTTCTTAACTCATATAATGTTGTATAAATCAGTGTGAATGAAATATAAACAAACCCCTCAGTAAAAACCTTCATAATGTAGAGAGGAATAAAACTCTTAAGTTTTGGTGTATGTCAGTGCTGCTGAAGTGGAGAAACAAACTCATTACCTTTAAATACGTGCATTTTCGCCATGTTATTAGGAATAAAATGTTGTATAAATCAGTGTGAATGAAATATAAACAAACCCCTCAGTAAAAACCTTCAGAATATAGAGAGGAATAAAACTCAATAAAATGATTAAATAAAATAAACGCTTACATGTGCATTTGGACATTTTCTTTCCACTAGTCTGAAAAAAATTGAGCAGTGCATGAAAAAACAAGGGTTTTGCCTGCAGTGTCTCACCTAAAAACAACAACAACAACAAAAAAGTGCAGAACGGGTTAGAAAATCCTGTTTTCCCTTTGAATTAAGTTTATTTTTCTGACCTCATTGGCAGATATTTTTTCTTGTTTTAAGTATAAACGCACTTCATTTTGAAAACATCTTAAAAACCTTCAGATCTTATCTGATGTCATTGTACATGTATCTTATATACTGGAAAACAAGACAAAACCACTGAGGAAGAACATGAGTTTTTGCAGAGTAGTTCACCAAAGGGTCATAACAGTTTAGTTATTTTGTAGATTATTGGAGCGCTGTAGTAGGTGGGTAGTCAGAATTAACTCCAGATTGACACAGCAGGTGACTAGAGCTAACTTACCCGTATTTGATTGTGAGGACGCTGAAGTGCTTCCTGTTGTGCTGGAAACCCTCAGGTGATGAAGACTGGCACAAAGAGAAGGTCAACGGCTCTCAGTTCCACGTTCTTAAGGGTTTGAAGAAAGGTTTGGCCTACAAGGTGCGTGTGGTGGCCCAGGGTCATGACGACCAAGCGGTCCATCACTCTGAGGAGCTGTTGGTTAAGGTCCCAGGTGAGGCTTCATCTCAGCCTCAAGGCCTTGTGGGATATCTGACAGCTGTGATGCATGACGGCCGTTGTGTTGAGATGTTGAAGCGCATGACGCACGTCTGTATGTCCTGCACGAGTCCGTCTGTGCTCATAATGTGGCTCAGTTGTTATTGTTTATTGATCGATCAGCATGATTGTATCCCATAATCAATACGAACTGCAAATGTGATTTTCTTATTCAGTATTTTTGAGTTGTTTTCCAGTACAAATATCTCAACATTCTTAAATTTACTTGAGATGCAAAATTAAGACATTAAGTATTTTTTTCTGAAAAATGCATCAACATTGACTTTATGCTGAAAGAAGAACACAATTTCTCAGAATTTCTACATTGTGTCTCATGTAAATGTATCTTGATATAAGAAAGTTCAGATATTTGTACTGTAAAACGAGACAGAAATACTGATGAAGAACATGATTTCTGCATTGCCGGTCGAGTTTCCCTCTCCGTGTTTGTTTCTCATGACTGTGTTCATGGCGTCTGATCTTCTGTGACTCGCTGGATCGAGCTGTTTAAAGTTGAAGATCTGCTCACGTCTCATGCTCTTCCTCCTCCTCCTCTTCCTCAGCGATGGTGAGTCCACAGGTGGACATCGCCACTCAGGGCTGGTTCATCGGTCTGATGTCGGCCATCGCTCTGCTCATCCTCATCCTGCTCATCATCTGCTTCATCAAGAGGAACAAGGGCGGCAAATATCCAGGTGAGCATTATTTTATTATCACTGATATACTGTTATAGTCTTTATCGTTATACTTTCTGTTTTCAATTTGATTTTAGTTAAAAGTTTTTGTATTTTTGATATGTATGACAAGTATGACAATCTTTGAAGATAAAAATTGTTGTTCAAAAAAATATGTATCCTTATGACATACCAAAACAATATAGAAATTGAGTAAAATGCAGTTTTTTTTTAAACAATATTTATAGTGTTTTTTAATTTTTTTTTATTTTGTAAATTAGGTTGAACTAAACAAAAATGGAAAATGTTGCCTTGGCAACTAGCTGAAATAAAATAAGTTTAAGTTTTATCATTTTATTTCAGTTAACGTTTAAATTGTTTCAAGTAACATTGTTTTATGGTCTTCATTTTAGTTAACGAAAATAACCCTAAAAACGGCTCTATTTATTTTCTAAATTCAGGCTAATGATCTTATTGTGAACAATTGTGTATAACTGTTCAAACGTACATATGTTTCTCCTTTTTTTCCAAAAGTTTAAACTAGTAATATTTAATCAAAATGAAGGAATGTGACAAAAGAAAAGATTTAACTTTTTTTTTTTTATCCCACTGGCAGATATTCTTTCTCGTTTTAAATATAAACACTTCATTTTGATGCATTTGTTTAGAAAACAAGACTTGATATCTTCTGTCATTTTGTTTCTCCACAAAATGCATCTTGACTTAAGAATGTTCAGATATTTGTACTGGAAAACAAGTCAGAAATAGGGTTAGGGTTATCTGTTGTTTCAATGATAAATGCCAGTGTGTGACTCTCTGATGTTTGTCTCAGTTAAAGAGAAGGAAGATGCTCACGGAGACCCGGAGATCCAGCCCATGAAGGAGGATGATATCACGTTTGGAGAGTACAGGTGAGAGAGCTCCGACCTGACCCTTGACCTCTGACCCCTCAGGAGACTGACCCCACCGATCTGAGACGGAGAGCGGATGAGAACTTCTCCACGACGTCACCTTCATCGTCTGATCTGCTGCTGGTCTGATGCAGATCCTGCGGGACTCGATCAGGTTCTCATCTCCAGGATGATCAGCATCAGTGAACTTGATGATCCAGCAGCGTATTTACTGTATCAGAATATAGTTCTGCATCCTTTTCTTCCTTGATCCAGAATAACCCTGCAGATGTTTGTTCATAATGACGTCGGATCTGAACTGAAGCTGCTGGTTTGCCATTTAAAGTCTATTCCTGCGTTATTCTGCACGCGTGCGGGAGAGAGACGAACGAACGCACTTTACTCCTGTATAGCAATATTCTTTTATATTCCCTGCTTTATTAAATTATTTCCTTTTTATACGCTGGACATTATTGCAGATGTTGATTTGTCCTCAGCATACAGTGTTCCTCATAACGCTGGTCAATGATGTGAATCTGACAGCTGCTCTTCTTTTGACACAAACCGGCATTTTAGACATGAAATATTTAGAAATTACATAATAAATAAATGAAATTGTTACATTAATGTCACCTGAGATTTTAAATTAATATTTCAATAATTTTCTAAGTGAAAATATTTTCAGATTGTCTTGTAAATTAAAAAGTAATTCGTTACTTTACTAGTTACTTGGAAAAAAGTAATCTGATTACGTAACTTGCATTACTTGTAATGGATTACAACCAACAATGATCATATCTTTAACTTGAATGTCGTGTAAGTCAGCGTTTGCCAAATGTAAATGCAAAATATGAGTGTGGATTACAGGATCGTTCAATCCTTGAATGATAACGCTATCTGAAACAAACTCACACTCAGCAGTAAATAAACGATCGTGAATCAGAGTTGACTCAGCTGCTCTGAATGAACACTGCTCTTAGTATGTGATGTTTAGTAGCTCTGAATCGCATCTGCTGTGACGCTCGCGCAGACTGAGTCGCTGGCGTTCGTTCCTCCCGTTTCGTTAAGTGCCGGTCGAATGTGGGAAGGTAAGCGGGAATCTGCATGCGAGAGGAGAAAAACACAACCATTCCAGGATCACACACATGTACATCATCGCCAGCCCGAGAACATGCAGTGAGAATGAATCACGGACAGAGTAAGGGCCCGTTCACACAGAACGCGTCTTTCCATTCCAATGCCTACTTTTCCATTTTTTTGTAAACGCACTAGATAGACGTGTATGACCGCTGCTCTCGCGTCTCTTAAGCAGAGCCGCTTATCAATCTCAATTCCAGAACAGTGGACCAATCAGAAGACTCCGGGGGCGGGGCAAGCATTGCCAGCTTTTGTTTACAGTAGCAAGTTGGCATGGCAACTGTTTTTATTTACATTATTGAGTCACGTCTCAAAAGCACATTTCAAGGCCCTCGCATTCTGCGCTTGATGCAAAGACGTGTTCCGAGTGAACGGCCCCTAACAGAGCTGTATGCTCGAAGATTGTATAAAAACTACTCAGATTAAATGCTTTTAGTATTTTATTTTTATTTACTGGGGTTATACAGTATTTTTGGACTTTTTAAAATTATTATTATTAGTAGTAGTAGTATTAGTATTACTTTAAAAATATATAAAAGTTAAAAAAAATATTTAATAAAATGATTTTTTGGCCAAATGATTTTGAAATTGTATCAACAAATTCAGAACAACAACAAAAATCCATAATAATAATAAAAGCAGAGAAAAACATGTATATGAGAGCATTATACAGTATGAGCCTGTCTGTTCTCTAGTTACCTGTACTAACTTACTCGTTTCATGGGAAGTGTGGCTACATCCATTCATGATTCATGTATGATTTGAGGTTTTTCTCAATCTGTTTGTGTTTTAATCGCGGCTGATGGGCTTCGTTCATGAAGCACCAGCAGAAGGAGTGTCTTCAGGAAGTTTGTCGAATGAATCAGAATCTTTGAATGATTCGCTCAGATTCAGCTGGTGCTTCAGGAATCAGGCTTTATGTCATGATGATCATGTTCAAGCTGATGTTTGAATCACGGCTTGATGAATCTGTTTTTCATCTTCACGCTTCAGATGCTGAGATATTGATTGCGCTTCATCCATCTTTATTCCTCTGATAGTTTCCCATGATGCTTTTAACGCTTGTTTTGAAGTTCACGCAGGTTTTGTCTCTCATCCTGTCACATGTATGTGATTGCACATGTGACACTGATCCTGCATGTGTGTGCCGTCCATCTTTTGAGTTTGATTTGCGTCATGATTCACCTGCATGTGGTTTTTCTCCTAGTGACGAGGACCATAAACCGCTCAAAGGGAGCCGAACTCCGTCCAGTGGAAGCGTTAAGCGCGACGGCAGCGACGACAGTTTAGTCGACTCCGGAGACACGCAGTTCAACGAGGACGGCTCGTTTATCGGACAGTATAGCGGGAGGTCAGATAAAGAGGCGACGCCTCCGTCTCTGGTGAACGCCATGAACTCATTCGTGTGAGATCCGCTGATTCATGAACCATGCTTCAGTTTACTAGAGACTAAACGAGCCTGACTGAAGCAGACGGCTGCGTCTGTACGGATCTCGGAGGATGATTAACCAGGCTGTGTTCACAATAGCACACTATCATACTACTGCAGTATGTACTATTATGCAATCATCTAGATATCAGGCAAAAATATAAACATTTTCATTTATGATTTGATCACTCAGACGGAATTCATACCTTAAGGAATAGTTCCTCCAAACTGAAAACGTGCTCACACCTAGGTTATCTGAGATTAGGATGAGTTTGTGTCTTCATCAGGTTTGGAGAAATGTAGCATTGCATCAGTGTCTCAGCAATGGATGCTCTGCAGTGAATGGGTGCCGTCAGAATGAGAGTCCAAACAGCTGATAAAAACATCACAATAGGCTTTTTGTTAAAAATGTCTTGATGGATTGGTTCTGACGGCACCCATTCACTGCAGTGGATCCATTGGTGAGCAAGTGATGCAATGCTACATTTCTCCAAATCTGACGAAGAAACAAACTCATCCTAAACTCAGATGACCTGAGTGTGAGCACATTTTCATTTCTGGATGAACTATTCCTGATGTGACGGCAGTAGCACAGTACATCACTGTGTGCTGACGCAGTATGCTAGTATTATATTAGGAACACAGCTGATGTATCCATGCATGATGACAATATTCTACTCTTCCGCTCAGAGCAATCTGATTCTGAGAGATGGAGACGCTCTCACTGTATTTCAGGGCACTGCTGCAGTGTTTGCAGTGAATTCATCAGAGGACATTTCTACAGAGTGAATCCCACACCGGCTCATATTTCATCCCAAAATCAAAAGAAAAATGTTTGAAATTATATTTTACATAAAGAAAATGAAGCATGTTTTTAGAATCATTCATTCTTTTTTGAATTATGACATTAACTTGAAATTCACATAAATGCAATTTATAACCATTATTTTGATGCAAAAAAAAACATTGTTTCTAAAAATATGGTTGATTTTCTTGATGTGTAAAATATAATTTCTATTTTTTGGGGGGGGGGGGGTT